TGAGGTGGAGAAAAGAAAAATATTAAATGAGAAAAAATATGAAAATACACTTTTATATTAAAGATTATTATTAAAATCAATGATCTGACCCAAACACACAACATTTTCTCTAGTAGTGGACACCAGGTTTAAGTATTAACTGGATAGATTATCCAATAACAATTTCAAAATCATGAAAAGAAAATGGTATATAGATAGCTTATGGCTTAATGCAAATGCTACTTGTATATTAGCTTGATTGGATCAGTGGAAGGTTAAATTCTCCTCAAAATAACAGCAGTAATGATAAAAAATCAATTAGATACACAGGATAATTACGATGGTCACTGAGAAAGCACCCAGACTCTAGAATTTTCAAGTAAAATAATTTTTAAGAGTACATGTATTATACAAAATACTTCCAGCAACTCAGGGAGGATGAGGCAGGAGGGTCAGAAGATCAAGGCTGACCTGGGCAACACAGACCCTATTTAAAAAAAAGCAGGGTGGGGGTCAGCAGGTGTCATTGTGGTTGGGGTACTGAACTTCCACATGGCCAACCATAGTTTGAGTCCTGGACCTGGTATCTTGCTTTACTCACTTTTTTCCCTCTGGCTAATTAAAAAAATAATAAGATAAATTCTTTTTTTTTTTTAAAGATAAACAATTCTTAAAAAAAAAAAAAGGGTGTGGAGGTATATGCTGACAGTCATATAGTCTCAGTTGGGAGGCTGAGGCAAGAGAATCGTGATGGTGAGGCTCTGTCTCAAATAAATAAAAAATAAATAAGCAAGCAAGTTTATAATGCCATTTAAATATCATTCCATTATTAGGATTATTAGGATAATTTGGACAAATAGTGAATCTCCATTTTAGTTCAGTGCCGTATTGCAAATGAGAAAAAAACAAAATCTCCCCTTCGAGTCTCTTTCATCTATAAGAAATCTGACATATTTGTTAGAAAAAGGAACTTTACTGACATGTCATAAAACTATGATATTAATATCTCCCCACAACACGTAATGCTGCTGTACATGTACCAACTGCAAAACCTTCGCATGACAGTCCTGCCCTGATTACTCTCACCAGCAGAGACTTTTCCTGTCAAACTTGAAAAAAATGCCCAATCTGAAGTGCTATAAACCACTGTTCAGTCGCAGGTCTTGACCATAGTATTCATATTCAAAATGATTTAAAATTAGAACGCACAGGGTCAGTGGGATAATGAACAAGTATAAATGAGAAACGTATTTCCCCCCAATGGTAAAAAAGTGTGTATTTAGAATTGGTCAGTTGGACTCTAGATGACCCTAATTTTGCTGGTAATGTCCAAAGCATCATAATCAGAAGCCAGTCACACATATACCTTCTCCTCTCTGTCAGGCCTGATTAGGGTACTGACCTTAGCCACATAAATATCACAGAGCTTCTTGGGAACTAGCAGTTAGCGTAATGGCTATGGCGCTGGACTCCCACGTAGTTGACCGCGGTTCGTGTCCCGGACCCGGTGGCTTAAAACTCACACCAGGCGCGTGTGCGTGCGTGCCCAAGATCCCGAGAAGAGAATGGAGGAGAAGGGATTGGGGCGTGACCATCCCCCCTGGGGGGTGATTTCTCACTTTCTGTCTCTATGTCTCTCTCTGTCTGGTGAGCGCACGCACCCTATAGCGAAAACCTCTCAAAGAAAAAAAAAATCACAGAGCTTCTTCACAGCCTGTGTGACCTGCTGCTTGTTGACCTCAACATCCACAATGAACCGCTGCTATCTTCTGTTTTCTTCATGGCAGACTCAGTGGTCAGGGGGAACTTGATGATGATGTAGTGGTCAAGCTTGTTTTTTCTGGGGATGCTCTTATGAGGATGTTTGGACTGCCTCTAAAGCTGCCATGTTTGGGGCTTCTGGAAGGGGAGTGATGTGTGGATCTTGCGTGTGTGTATTGATGTGGATGCCTTTCAGTACTCCTTTCTTCAGCCTTCAAAGCCTTTGCTTTGGCTTCAGCTCTGGGAAGAGCAGGAGCTTCCTTCTTTGCTTTTGGTGCCACTGTGGCAAAAAGGGTCTTTTTGAGAAACATATTTTAGGGATAATAAAAACTAATTTGTTTTTAAAAATTAAAAAAACTGGGATCAGCAGATGGCATAACGATTACATTGTTTAACTCCCATGTAGTCAACTGCGGTTCAAGTCCTGGATCCAGCAGCTTAAAACTCATGCCAGGCACGTGTGCATACATGCCCAAAATACAGAGAGGAGAATGGAGCAGAAGGGATTGTGGCATGGCCAGGCATGCATGTGTATGTATCCAAGATCCTGGGAAAAGAGATTGCAGCATGGTCATCTCCCTAGGGGGTGATTTCTCACTCTTCCTCTCACTGTATTTGTCTGTCTGTCTGTCTCTCTCTCTCTCTAGCAAGTACACATACCCTAAGGACAAAAACAAAAACAAACTCATCAAACAAAAGGTTTATTTCTAACAGGAGAGAGAGAAATACAGAGATACTAAGAAATGGGGGGGGCACCCCAACTTCAGGCAGCGAGGATCATGGGAGCGGTACAGACAGACCTTAGGACATGGACCCAGAACCTTCCTGTGTGGCCTTAGCATTGCAGAGTATTCATTGCATTACCACTGCACCATTGAAGTTGGCCAATACTTTCTTAATCTTAATAACGTTCAAGATACTCCTTTAGTGGACCAGCAGATGGTATAGTGGTTACATTGCTGGACTCCCACATGGCCAACTATGGTTTAGCTCCCGGACTCGTGGGCGTGGGCTTCAAACTTAGGCTGGGCACATGTGCATACATGCCCAGGATCCCAGGAGGAGAATGGAAAAGAAGGGATTGCAGTGTGGCCATCCCCTCTGGGGAGAGGGTGATTTCTCACTCTGTCTTTCTGTCTCTCCAGCAAGCACACATGCCCTATAGGAAAAATTTCTCCCCACACATACACACACACAAAGATATTCCTTTAGATACCAAATCAATGTCACAGTTTTTGTATATTCAAATTTTCAGACTAAACAAAGATTGTCATGCTTTTTTTCCAATTGCCCAATTGGTGCCTAAAGGCTAAACTAATCATACCAATGTAATAAAACAAGAGAGCACCTCTAGCTGACATTTGATTCACTATCTTATCCTCTGATATAGGCAGAGGAGATATTTCCTCACAAGTTATTCATTTTAATTAAATTCAACAAATTTCAGAAATTTATTCTCCTGTTTATTTGGATTATGGCATTTGCTTTCATCTAATTTTTTCTTTCATTATGCCAGAGAGCCTGCATGTGCACATGAGAAAGAAGAAAAAAAAAAAAAAGAAAGGAAGGAAAGCAAGTACCTCTAATGGGACCTGGTCATACCACAATCCTTTTTATTCCAATCCTCCATCTTCTTAGAATCCTGGGCATGTGTTCTTGGGTATAATTGTCAGAGCTGGAACAGAGCTGAACTCTGGTTGGCAATGTGGATCTGGCTTCCTCTGCACAGTGCTTAACCCCTGTACTATGACACTGGCCTTCATCTCATTTTAATCATGTAAGAGTTGCCATCTATCCAGATTTGCCTGAAACAGTTCTGATGTATGGCTAGAAGTTCAGCATAACTACTGATAGTGCCCCCTTTCTATTTAAAAAATGTCCCATTTCATACATTTAATTATTACCCATTCTTACAGATTAAAAAAAATATAAATTTTGCGAGCTGAAATTTGGACTCAATATACTTGGTTTGGAAATAATTCAGATGAAAAGTTATTTCAAAAACTAGATAGATTATGATACGGGACACTTTCCATTTTAAAAGTTTCAGGCTATACAATAAAATAAATTATTGCATTGTTGGAAAAGTCATGACACATTTTTGCATAGAAAAACAGAAAAAATACTCATGACTTTTCCAACAACCCAAAAGAAATCTGCAATTACATCATTGGAGGTCATTCCAATTGCATCACTGACCTTTTAACAGAAGTACAAATAAACATTTCATGTGTATTTTCCTCCTCCAAGAGTTTCTACTGTCTGTCTTCATTTTTATCCATCAAATTCTTAATTTATTTAGTCCCTTCTCCCCTTTTTTTCTGTATGAAATAATCATTTGGGATTTTAAAGTATTAATTAAAGTCCCTCAACAGAACTGTTTGACTTGACCATTGCCATTTTGCTAAGTGTCAACAAAAAGGAAAGTTTAGAGCAATGTTGTTATAAAATAACATTCTCTGACATTCTTGTCTTATTTACTGAGTCTCATGGAGAAACTAAACATCATTTCTTTAAAAGAAAGGAAAACTTTTGGATATACCAGCTAGTCCCATTGTAGTTTCAGAAAAAAAAAAAAAATAACTTCTATGAAGTTATCCCTTACTATATTAAAAATGTTTAAGTATCTTAATTTCACAAGGATATCCTAATTAGAATCCATTCTGGTTTGAAGGAGTAATAATGAAATTCATGGGTTCTTATAAAGTGGCAGTCACAGAGAGGATGTATTTTATGCTTCCTAAAATGTTTTTATAACTCCTCAGCTATATATTGCTTACATACAGCATCACTCCTACATGTACATTTTGCAACTTCTATTACAGATTAATATAAATAAACTCAGGAGAACTAAAATACTTAAAAATTCTATTGTAAGAAACAAAAACTAGGGACCAGCAGATGGCATAATGGTTACGCTGCTGGCCTCCTATGTAGTCAACCATGGTTTGTGTCCCAGACCCAGTGGCTTAAAACTCACGCCGGGCAGGTGTGCATGTGTGCCCAAAATCCTGAGGAAAATGGTGGAAAAGGGATTAAAGTAGGGCCATTCCCTCTGGGAAGTGATTTCTCACTTTCTGTCTCTCTCTACCTCTCTGGTGAGCGTGTGTGCCCTATAGCAAAAATCTAAAAAAAGAAATAAAAACTATACTTTTTAAGAAAAAATACAGATTACTACCTTTAAAGTTCAAGTTATGTCATCTTAATTATAAACACACTTGGTATGAAATTTTAAAAAACACACATACACAAGCTCTAGGTAGAGCAGTAATAAACAAATTCCTTTTATAAACAAAATTTTAAATGAAAAGCCACAGTAGAGGGGAAAAAAAAGAAAAAAAGGATTATTACTTGGTAAAATCCAGTGACATCTACAATAGTTTTACAGCACATTTAAGCATTCTAGGGTTTTATATCTTCACCTGCCTTCCATTTCTTAGTTCCTCCTTATAAAACTGCCAATTAAAAACAAAGATTTTACTTCAAACCTAGTACTGAATTTGAGTGCCAGGAAAAGCAAAACAATAGCCTAAATTTCTATCTTGAAATCATAGCCTTAATTTAAAAATTGTTTTTGTTTAAAACACAATGCCCAACTAAATGAAAAAGAAAATAAAAACATAAGCAGCAATATGTAATTATATATAACAGTTACTCATCATATGGAAAGTATTTTTTAGGATATCTAGAATGCACTTACTCTGTGAGTGTCCTCAATAATTAAACTGACATAGACCAACACTACCAAAAATAAGAGTACTGTGTAAGGGGCACACATTTACAATACTGCTAGTCTTTAAAAAGGTAGAACAAAAAACAGCACATGCACATTTTACAGAGAACTTCCACTGAACTATCAATGGCTTCTTTGCAATGTGCTCTTTTCCATAACTATATTAACAACTACCAAGAAAGAAAAATGAGATTAAAAGTAATGGTACTGAACTGAATTGTTTGAAGCCAGTGCCCCATATGTGGGGAAAAGTGCATTTAGTTCAGCAGCAATACAGCACAGTGTGAAGATATTGTGCTTAGACGCAGATATTCCAGAATTGAAAGATATACAAGGCAAGTCAAGATATAAAACCATAGTACACTGTTAAATAACCTTGAAACATACATATATTGCAGTTTTCAAAGAAAGACATTCATATCATTGTACAAGGATAGGGAAAAATCCTTAAAGTTACCTACTGTAGTTTATGATATAATAAATACATATCTATATAGCATTGTATATACATATATAGAATGTGTGTGTTTATGTGTAATTTATTCATTCATTCATTCATTTGCCAAATTATGCTGTTAGTTTTTGTGGATCTGTCACTGATTTGAAAAAATTCCTTTTCACCGCAAGTTCCTGTTTCCCCAAACTTAAGATATTTACACTAGAAAGGTCTTATACCCTCTCCCTACCCAGATTCATTTGCTTTACAACTCATGAAAGAAGCACAATAAAAGGAATTCTAGATTTCTGACTGCATCTTTTTACTTTGCCAGTTGTTTCAACAAGGATCTCAATGTTTAAATCAGCTGACACAAATGATTTAGCAGAGGATATAAACTCTAGATTTGACTGATTAAAACAGAGCAAATCAAAACCAAAAAAAAGGGGGGGGGAGAAATCCAGTGATTTACTCTGACTGTAAACAATATTAAAAAATTTAAATTTCAAATCTCATAATAAGTTAAAGAAAAATTCTGCCTTTAAGACCTATGATACTATAAAGATCTGACAACTGGTAAGGGGAAAATGTGTATGAAAAGTTGCAAAAAAAAACTTGTTTGCCCATTATTTTTTCTAAGAGAAAGTATAACTATACTACCTCTGTTCTTTAATAACTTCATAATTTGTTGGCAAATATTTTAAGCAAACTGGCATATCAGATTACATGACTGAAAAATATCCATCAAATTCAGCAAGAAAACTTATATAAGCCTTTTGTACAAAATTAAAAAAAAAAACTAAATGGCTATGATTCCTCTATTAGCAGAAACACATAATGCAGTCTTTAAAATCTGCCTTATATATCAATATCTACATAAATAGATACAGATATAGGTATGAAACATTAATGGCAGTCTATTTGAACAGTGTGTGAGACCAGCAGATTTTTTATCAGACCATGGCACGATATGGACCCTGCATCTTTAGGAACTGAATGATGAAAGAAGGTCCCCCAGCAACGATCTGAGGTGGAAGGTGACTGAGTGGACAGTTCTCAATACTCATGATTGAAAGCTTGCTGCAGAGAGCCAGCTCAAAGGGAAGGCTATGCAGATTGGGGTTGTCATTCAAATATAGTTCTTCTAGGTTCTCCAGTGTACCTGTTTAATAAAACCAAATCAATTATTATTATTATTATTATTATTTTAAAGTTACTATTTAAAAACTTTGGGCATGAAGCTAACCTAGGCAGTAACTGAATACATATTTTATCTTACTCTGTTTTCTTAGTAAAAACTCTTAAACCATGGATCTCAAACTTCTATACATATTCAAATCAACTGATAAGATTTTTAAACATCCTGATGACCATCCAGTTCACACTTCACAAGAACTAAATCAAATTTGTTTGTAAGCTTACAGAGTTCTTTGAAAATACATACACTCCATATCCTGAGATTCTGTTTGATATTCATGTATATATTTTTTTAAAACTCCAGAGGTAAATTTATTATACATGCAGTGTTTATAATCACGTTTCTATTGTAGACAATGTAGCAATTTCTTATATTAGTAAATTTCTCATGTGGAAAGCTTTTGTTACTTGGTATAAATCTTTCATTAAGAGAGTTATCATATATATGGCAGTAAGTCGAAAACCAATTTATATAGTCTTTAAAAAATTTTTTAAGACAGTCAGGATACTTGTACTTTCTAAGCAAATGCTTCAAGCAATTAATTATATGAGGCCAAACAGAGAAATATACTAGAAATATAAGCATAAAGTTGCCTCACGTGTTTCCAATTTTTTAAACTTCAAAATTGGAATAGTCAACAGTGTTATTTATTAGAAGAATAATTAAAATAATAGCTAGCAGGTAATGAATATTTTTATATGAAAATATATGTAATCTTCAGAAAAATCTGATGAGAAGTAAAGTATTATCATCCTTACTTTACAGGTAAGAAGCCCAAGGATTAGGGAATCATCTAATATCTCAAAAAACATTCTTTCTTTTTTTGGGGGGGTGGGGAAGAGAGGTTTTTTGCTGTATGGCGCATGCGTTCACCAGAAAGACAGAAAGAGACAGAGACAGAAAGCGAGAAGTCACCCCCCCCAGGGGAGATGGCCATACCGCAATCCCTTTTCCTCCATTCTACCCTCGGGATCTTGAGCACACATGCACATGCACCCAATGTGAGTTTAAGCCACCGGGTCCGGGACTTGAACCACGGTTGGCTGCATGGGAGTCCAGCAACATAGTCATTACTCTAACTGCTGGTCCCTCGAAAACCATTCTTAATTACTATAGTGTCTCTGGGATAGCACACTATAAATGGGAGAATATAATACAAATAATTATTAATAAAGAATTACTATTTATTTACTATGTGACTCAATCAATTAGCTTTCTTTTTAAAATGATATTACAAATGTACACTGACAAAATTCCAAGGCAGTCATGTTGACAACATCAAATAATGGATATGAAAATACTTAGAAAATTCTGAAGTCTTACCAAATATTAGTTGTTTTTATCAGTCCTACAGCCCTATTAAAACTGTTTTGGGCATACAATACACTGTTAATTTAGTTCAAGCCTCTGTAATGTTTAAACTTTAAAGAAATACAAAATAACTCTTCCAAATTGAGGCTATATATAAAACCTACTGGAAATATAAGTATTCTAAAACATTCTCAAAGGCAATATTAATCCTAACAACTCATAAGCAAGCCTAGCCAAAACCAACCAATCATTTGTGCTCGACAGGAAAATCTTAAGCCTGATGCCATCTCAGTTTACAAAAACAGATTTGTCATATTTATCTAAAAATAGTACTTGAACACACAAGAATAAATTATCAGTACAGGATCGAACATCCACAAGGTTCATACCAATTTCCTCAGGAAGATGAGTAAGTAGGTTCTCTCCAAGGCCTAGATGTGTGAGATTTGTAAGGTGACCAATGCCTCTGGGAAGAGTCGTCAACTGGTTGTTTGTCAAGACCAACTTCTAAAAAATTAACAAAATAAAAAACATTACATATGTATTTCCTATAACTGATACAGACTTAATATATCTACTGAGTGAGAAAACAAATTAACAGAAAAATTATTCACTTATCAGAAATGTTATGACTCATTTTTGCAGAGAAAAATATGCATCATGACTTTTCTGATAACCCAATATATTGAACAGAATAAAAATCCTTTAATAATTTACAGGTTTTTCTTCTAAAATATATCATATGTTAGGAAAACAAAAGCAGAGAGATTTATATAAACATAAAACCCAGTCCCAATGCTATAATAGAAAACTCTATCTGGTCCAAGAATTGGATCAAAGCCCTCAAGAAAAATGTGCAATTTGAATGGATTCTGAAAATTTTAATAGATCATAGCCAGCAGGTGGCATGGTGCTTACAGTGCTGGATCCCACATACACAACTCAGAGGTTTGAGTGTTGGACTCAATGGCTTATATAACACGGGCCAGGGGCCAGCAGGTGGCATGGTGGTTAAGGGCGCTGGATTTCCACATGGCCAACTGTGGTTTGAGTCCCAGATCTGGCGGCTTGCTTTCTCACTTTCCCTCTCTCTCTCTCACCCTGTCCCTCTCTGGTCAAAATTAAGATGAAGTTAAATAAAATAATTGTTTTAAAAACAAAACGAAAAAACACGGGCCAGCATGTGGTGTGGTGTTTTAGGCACTGTACTCCCCCATGGCCAACCACAGTTCAAGTCCCGAACTTGGCAGCTTGCTTTCTAACTTTCCTTCTCTCTCCCTCTCTGCCTAGTGAGCATGACGGCCCTGTAGTAAACTGGAAAATAACAATAATAAATAAAATTAAATGAAGAAGGAAGAAGAAAAAAGAGAAGGAAGAAGGAAGAAGGAAGCAGGAGGAAAGAGGGAAGAAGGAAGAAGGAAGAGGGAAGAAGGAAGAGGGAAGAGGGAAGAAAGAAGAAAGAAGAAAGAAGACCACACTCGGAGCTTGTGTGTGTGTGACCAAAATTCCAAGACGAAAACGGAGGAGAAAAGATTGTTGTGAGAAGAGATTGCGGCGTGGCCATCACTCCCAGTGGGAGTAGGGTGATTTCTCTTTCTCTCTGTCTCTCTCTGGTGAGCACAAGCACCATATGGCAAAAATAAAAACAAATAAAAAAATCTTTATTTGGACCAACCCCTTAGCCTAGTAGTTAAAGGGAGCTGGATCCCACATGGCTGACCATGGTTCAAAATCTGGCCCCAGTAGCATGAGAAACACACTGGGTATGGGTATATGTGCATGCACCCCCAAATCCTGATATCCATTGGGATGGAGGGATGGTGTGGCCATCCCTCAGGATGGAGAAATGGAAGAGAAGGGATTGCAGGGTGACTATGCTCTGTTGGGGGAGGTGCCACACTAGAGGTAGGTGCTTTCACTCTTCCTGTCTGCCTCTATCTCTGTGAGTGCATGTACCCTCTGGAAATAATTTTTAAATTAAATCTTTAATCAAACAACTACAAAATCATCAGAATAATGTCTTACCTGTAAATCCTTAAGATATGCAATTTCATTTGGTAAGGATTCCAATTTGTTCTCTTCTAGATCCAACTCTCTCAACTTCCTAAGGTTTCCAAGACCATGAGGAAGCTTCTTTAGAAGATTGTTTGATAATATGAGAACCTAAATGGAAATTATTGACAGTATTTGGCAACTCATGAAATGGAATTATATACTATTATCATGTTGCTTAAAATTTATTAATCAATGCTAATTTTCTAAACAGTGTCAAAGGTAATATTCAATCATATAACATATAAGGCTTTAGCTTACTATTGTAAAACAATCACCATAATTATTAGAAATAGAGATTTTTATTACCTTAAAACTAATAAAATCAAAGAAGTCATTTAAATTACCAAAAAGATTATTAACTATTTTGTACTAAGATTCATACAGTTAATGAGATTTTCATACTAAGGAGTTATAAATATCTATCTAGGGACCAGCAGATGGCAGAATGGATTTATCACTGGACTCCCACATAGTCAACCACGGTTTGAGTCATGGACCCAGCGGCTTAAAAGTCACTCTTGAATGTGTGTGCGTGCGTGCCCAAAATCCCGAGAGGAGAACGGAGAAGGAACTGTGGTGTGGCTATCCCCTCTCAGGGGTGATTTCTCACTTTCTGTCTCTGTTTCTCTCTGTCTCTGGCAAGCACACATACTCTATAGCAAAAACCTCTCTACAGAAAATAAATTAAAATAAATAAAATAAATGGCTATCTAAGAGAAAACTGATTATTTAAGACCCCCTGTAAGTCATCATTTATGGAAGGTAACAAATGACCTCTAAACTGTCTATATCGATCCCCTACAATTATTATGTGTTGTGTATTTATTACATTGCAAGGAATTCTTTAAGATACTGGGGAAGAGGGGTAGGCCAAAGAAGTTAGTTCTTGTTCTCAAGTAATAAAAAAATAGCAGGAGCATGAGGAGACAGTAATGGGTATGAGGACAGTGGAAATAGGAAGATCCGTATAAGGTTCAAGTTAATTTTGTACATCCATTCATTTCTCCAAAAGTAATACCACACAAAATAAATATATACAACACAATCAGGAAAATAATAACAGCTACCACTTGAATTAACTATTTCAGAGCACTGTACTAAATGCATTAAGTGCACTGTTACATTTCATCGTAATTACAATCCTATTAAATAAGTACTATTATCGACACTTCACAGCTTAGGAAACTGAAGCTTGAGTGAGTTAAATCCCTAACTAGAGCAAGATCAAACTGGAATTGCATCCTGATTTGTTCAACTTCAAAGCCCATACTTTTTTTCTTTTCTTTTTTTTGGAGAGGTTTTTGCTATAGGGTGTGTGTGCTCACCAGAAAGAGAGACAGAGAGACAGAAAGCAAGAAATCACCCCCTGGGGGGATGGCCATGCCACAATCAGTTCTCCTCCATTCTCCTCTTGGGATCCTGGGCACACACGCACAAGCGCCTAGCATGACTTTAAGCCACCGGGTCCGGGACTCGAACCGCAGTCGACTACATGGAAGTCCAGCGACATAGCCATTACGTTAACTGCTGGTCCCCAAAGCCAATACTTTTAACTAGTGCACCATACTATTTCACCTTATTAAATAAAACAATAAAGAAGTTTTAAAAAATATATAGATATGGCAGAAAAAATGTAAAACAATGTATTTACAGAGACCAGAGGATGGTGTAGAGTTTACGTCACTGGATGCCCACATGGCTGACTGTAGTTCGAGTCCTGGACTTGGTGGGTTCAAAATCACCCCAGGTGCGTGTGCATACGTGCCCAAGATCCCAAGAGGAGAGTGGAGGAGAAGGGATTGCGGCATGGCCATCCCCCTGGAGAGTGGTTTCTCACTTTCCCTCTCACTGTCTCTGTCTGTCTCTGTCTCTCTCTGACGAGCATACCTGCCCTAAGGCAAAATCCCTAATGGAAAATGTATTTACTATTAGCAAGCTTTTTCATCAAAAAGAAGTAAACTCTAGGGACTAAAGAGTCAGAAGAAATCAACTGAGAAGGTAAAGAAAAATCTTTAATTGTGGAAAATAATTTTAAAAGGAAAAATTAAGATGAAAAAAGGGCACTGTAGATAGTGAGTATAACAGGACTAAATATAGAGGTAAAAATATATCTCACCTTCCCAACAAAGAAAACAATCTATTTAACTAGAAAATAAAATACTGGAACCACAGTCGGTGTAATGGCTATGTTGCTGGACTCTCATGTAGTAGACCGTGGTTCAAGTCCTGCACCCACTGGCTTAAACTCATGCCGGGCATGTGTGTGCACATGCCCAAGATCCCAAGAGGAAAGTGGAGGAGAAAGGGTTGTGGTGTGGCCATCTCCCCCAGGGGGTAATTTCTCGCTTTCTGTCTCTCTACCTCTCTCTGTCTTTCTGGCGAGTGCATGTACCCTATAGCAAAAAACCTCTCCAAATAAATAAATAAAACACTACATGGGTAATTAGAAAAGTAGGTCAGTCATATGATAAAGGGTTCTAAATGTCAGTCTTATTAATCCATAATTCTTGTAAATAATTGTGTAGTTCTTACACAGAACTGGGAAAAAAAAGTTGTAAGAGATGATAAGTTTTAGAGACTTTTTTTTTTTTTTTTTGGTAGGGGGGAGAAGTTTTTGCTGTAGGGTGTGTACGCTCACCAGAAAGACAGAGACAGAAAGGGAGAAATCACTCCCGAGGGAGGATGGCCACGCTGCAATCCCTTTTCCTCCATTCTCCTCTTGGGATCTTGGGCACGCATGCACACGTGCCCAGCGTGAGTTTAAGCCACTGGGTCTGGGACTTGAACTGTGGTTGACTACAGGGGAGTCCAGCGACATAGCCATTACACCAACTGCTGGTCCCATAGAGACCTTTTCTTCCAAAGATATTTCATAGTCCTTAAATCCAAGAACTTTTAGTTGACAAGAGTAATTCAGAAGCACTGAGCCTAGACTAATTAATTCAGTCAGTACTTTATCATCCTGGTAGGGTTATATGTTTAAGAGAACTCTAACATTCCTAATCATGATCTTCGCCCAAACAGAAATTACTTATTTTATTTGAAACTTTGTTAATGAGATCATTATGAACGGGTTTGAGGAGTTCTAAATTTGTTAAAACTCACCTCGAGAGAAATGAGACCAGATACATCCTCAGGGATCTTTGTGAGCTGATTAGTAGCTAAATTCAATTCTACCATACTGGTCCAAGTTCCAAAGTCCAAAGGAAGTGAAGTTAACTGATTGTCCTGGCAGAGACAAAAGGAAGTATTCAAGGTAGAACCACAAAATAAAGCTCCATAAATACCTGCCTTTGGAAAAGAGAATTCTTAAACAATAGAAAACGTTATTCTCTTTTTTGATACCCAAATACAGACACACACACACCCCAAAACTCTGAGCCTCCACAAGTTTTTCTACAGTAATTACGCTTTTAGAAATAAACTGCAAGTTTGTTCCCTATGTGATTATTGTTATGGAAAGAGAAAAATACATTAAACAGAGAAATAGCTGAGGGTCTGTCCATGGCCTCAAGCTTAAAGCCTGATCCCACATATCCACCCAGAGTATAAATCCCAGTTCCAGCGGCAGCTTGAAAACCATGGTGGGTGAGTGTGCATGTATGCCCAAAATCTAACAGGATGAAGAAATGGAGAAGGAGTTGTGTGTGACCACTCTTCACTGGGAAGTACTTCCCCTATTTCACTCTATAGAAAGCACATATACTCTGACAATTTTTTAAAAAGAGAAATTTTAAAGATATTAATGATAAATATAATGATTTTCAAATTTCACCATAATGCACAGTTTAAAAATATGGAAAAAAGTCTCTGTACTCCTGCTTGGTTTCCGTAAACAAGCTGTGACCTCATTATTTTTTTGGGGGGGGGGGCTCTTTTTTGCTAGGTTACAACCAATCAAACAGGACCCTTCGTTATCCATTTCTCTCTTGTGGCAAGTGGGGATCATAGGAAACTTGTGTTTAGAGTTCTCTGAGTTTTACATGAGCAAATTTTGGTCCAAACTAGGATTCGAGTTGCAACAGAAAGGGAACTGGGGTCCTGGATTGGACTGGATTAGATAGTTAACTGGATTGAATCCAGTTGTCTGGCTGGGTCAGACAGAAGCTAGCAGTAAGTAGCTATTACTATGATGATGCAATAAAATTTTAGGTTAAAAAAAAATTTTTGAGCATGATTTTTATGTTCATCATCATCTTTTTTTTTTTTTTCCCATGCTTAGATAGAGAAAGGCCATTGGCTCAATTGTTCAAAGAGAGCTCAGAGCCAAAGCCAGAATAAATTATTTCCCACTTAGGTTTTTCTTAGCTCAAACAGGCTCAAAATTTACTTAAAAACAGAATTCCTAATTCTAAAGATCAAAGTACTTCCTGGAAGCTATAATATTTACAAAAGTGGAGAGAGCTTACTAATATGATTTAAAATTACGATGGCCATGATGAAGAACATTATATATAAACAAAATTGCTTCTTAAAAAACGTAATAAAAACTGATGGCTCCCAAATTAGGTCCATCCAGAGAAGCCCACTGAGATGGAGAAGCTTCGAAAAGATTTAATTTTCTCTTTTAAGACTCTATAAAAGATAAATGATAAGTCTAAATGACAGAGAAAGTTCTACCAAAGTTTTTCCTTTGTTTACTAGTCTGCCCAAAGCAAAAAGAAAGCTAGATAAAAGATTTATTAAAATGGTTTAAAATATTCCTACAAGTCAAACTGGATTGTTTCTTGTTCAGCAATATATGAGTGATATCTACAAGTGTTGGAAATGCTTTATTTGCCTTCATTAATGGGCTCCACTCTGAATCAGTAATAATTTAAGATACATGCTGGATTTAAAAGGCTACATATTAATTAAATTAGTCTTCAAAAATACAACTTTATGGCAATTTAGTGGCCTATTTAAAAGTCCACATATTTGTAAATACATTCCTGTTAACTCACTAGTTTCTTACAGTGGAAAATGCACAAGTTTAAATGTATAACATAAATTGACTGCATTTAGAGCAGTTGTTCAGGGCCCTATTTAGAGAAACCCAACTGTGGGTCAAATCCTAGCTCCTGCATGCCACTTCAAAAAGGCAAATGTATACAAGCCCCTCAAACTCCCACTAGTAGAATTTTTTTAAAAAATGGAGGAAAAGGGATTGCTATGTGACCACTCTCTGTTGAAAGTGCTTTTCCCTCCTTGGTCTAATAAGGACACCTGCCTTCAGGCAATTAATCTACATAATACTCATTTTTAATCATACTATGTGCCTTTGCAACATAAACTTTCTTTGTTTAACCTAGGAATTAGACCTTTTGAACAGATATTTAGGATTAGATTAATGGCAAAATTAGCAGTTAAAAAGTAATGCTATGATATTTATTATTAAGTGTACATACAGAAGTAAAAGCAGGTTAATTCACTGTTTTGACTCAGAAGAGATCTGATTACATCAGGGAATTAGTCACAGCATTAAGGGGTTTCTCTTCTAAGAAAATGGAGTGGAATGACTAATTTCAGTTCTTTGCAAGGTGCCTGAAGATAAGCAATGACTAGCAAGGCTGCAGAAGCCACGGTGGAGCTGAACAAGACAACTCTTAGATCCTCAGTTTAATACAGGTATCTGGTAAGGACTCCGCAGGGTTAAAATGTGAAGTATTCTTTCCCCCCCACGCACACACAAACAAAAAAAGCATAAAGAACTTCTCAGAAGACTAGGAGATCTTTAGTTTGCATGTATGTGTATGCATGCATACATGTTATGTGTTATGTTGTGTGTCTATGTGATAAAAGGCCTTAAAGAATTCCATTAATTTTGATGTATAAAAAGAGCACCCATACAAATTAATTTAAATGCTTTTCAAGTTCAAGTGACTTAAAATCTTTGACAAATAAGCTGGCTTCAAATATGGTAAAAAAAAAAAAAAACAACTTAATAAGTAAAGATCTTCACAGTTTCAAACATATTTTGCCCAGCGTTTTATTGATCAGGCAAATCATGTTTATCATAATGCAGTTGGCTTAATGAAACAGCTCATATTTGTGTGTTATATTTTATATGGTAGATATCTAACAGACAAATGGATTCACAGCTGGCTTTTTCTCACTTTAGTTTTGGTGCCAACAGGCACCGAGTTAGCCCTTATTCATTCCTAAAGCACTTGGAGAACATTTAACTTTAATTTTCTGCTAACAGTTAAGTATTTAAGCTTTTTGCTAAATTTGACTAGCTTTTGCCAACAATGTATAACATAAATTGACTGCATTTAGAGCAGTTGTTCAGGGCCCTATTTAGAGAAACCCAACTGTGGGTCAAATCCTAGCTCCTGCATGCCACTTCAAAAAGGCAAATGTATACAAGCCCCTCAAACTCCCACTAGTAGAATTTTTTTAAAAAATGGAGGAAAAGGGATTGCTATGTGACCACTCTCTGTTGAAAGTGCTTTTCCCTCCTTGGTCTAATAAGGACACCTGCCTTCAGGCAATTAATCTACATAATACTCATTTTTAATCATACTATGTGCCTTTGCAACATAAACTTTCTTTGTTTAACCTAGGAATTAGACCTTTTGAACAGATATTTAGGATTAGATTAATGGCAAAATTAGCAGTTAAAAAGTAATGCTATGATATTTATTATTAAGTGTACATACAGAAGTAAAAGCAGGTTAATTCACTGTTTTGACTCAGAAGAGATCTGATTACATCAGGGAATTAGTCACAGCATTAAGGGGTTTCTCTTCTAAGAAAATGGAGTGGAATGACTAATTTCAGTTCTTTGCAAGGTGCCTGAAGATAAGCAATGACTAGCAAGGCTGCAGAAGCCACGGTGGAGCTGAACAAGACAACTCTTAGATCCTCAGTTTAATACAGGTATCTGGTAAGGACTCCGCAGGGTTAAAATGTGAAGTATTCTTTCCCCCCCACGCACACACAAACAAAAAAAGCATAAAGAACTTCTCAGAAGACTAGGAGATCTTTAGTTTGCATGTATGTGTATGCATGCATACATGTTATGTGTTATGTTGTGTGTCTATGTGATAAAAGGCCTTAAAGAATTCCATTAATTTTGATGTATAAAAAGAGCACCCATACAAATTAATTTAAATGCTTTTCAAGTTCAAGTGACTTAAAATCTTTGACAAATAAGCTGGCTTCAAATATGGTAAAAAAAAAAAAAAACAACTTAATAAGTAAAGATCTTCACAGTTTCAAACATATTTTGCCCAGCGTTTTATTGATCAGGCAAATCATGTTTATCATAATGCAGTTGGCTTAATGAAACAGCTCATATTTGTGTGTTATATTTTATATGGTAGATATCTAACAGACAAATGGATTCACAGCTGGCTTTTTCTCACTTTAGTTTTGGTGCCAACAGGCACCGAGTTAGCCCTTATTCATTCCTAAAGCACTTGGAGAACATTTAACTTTAATTTTCTGCTAACAGTTAAGTATTTAAGCTTTTTGCTAAATTTGACTAGCTTTTGCCAACATCAAGTTTTAAATTATGTTCTTCTACCTTAAAATAACTTTTGGATGTTTACAGAGGGTCCCTGAAACATCCAAAAGAGAGACAGTAGAACCAACTAGACTTATTTTAATATGTTAAATGATATGAGAAACATTGGCAAATTGAGTAATTTTAATTTTATTTACATTATATTGGAATGAAATGTATGGATATATTATATGTATATATACATATAACAAATTTCCTTGTCAGTTGTAAACTCCTGCAATATCTTTTTTTAAATTTTTTTATTTATTTTTTTTGGGGGGAGACGTTTTTGCTATAGGGCGCATATACTCGCCAGAAAGACAGAGAGACAGAAAGCGAGAAATCACCCCCCAGGAGGGATGGTCACACTGCAATCCCTCCTCCTCCATTCTCCTCTTAGGATTTTGGGCATGCACACACACGTGCGCACTCGATGTGAGTTTAAGCCACTGGGCGTGGGACTTGTATCGCAGTCGACTGCATGGGAGTCCAGAGACATAGCCATTATGCTAACTACTGGTCCTGTCCTGCCATATCTTTAACTATGGTTGGCTCAATTCTTATTGTCCATGGTTAATTGCTTTGTTTAATGCCTTTCTAAAAAGATTTTTTTTCAAATGACTACAATCTTAAAGTGTTATATCTTTAAGGACTTTTTTTTTTAAAAAAAAAAGGATGGGAAGAGGATGTACTCTTGTATGTACAGGTTTCTGATGATCTGATCATTACACCGTGTAAA